GGATCATCTTTATCCTTCTGGTCCTGCTTCTTACGCCGCCACATCATGAGCGCAAAACTAATTATCGCCATGAGAGCGAGACTGCCCACGACGATTGCGACAATACCGCCAGTTGGAAGCCTATATGCAACTTGAGCATGATACTACACGAATTTGCGGAAGAATATTTACCCTTTACTTGATGGCGGAGGAGTATCCGATGTCGCCGCAGCAGTCTCGCTCGTGCTCGTTGTAGTAGCCGACGAGGAAGTCGAAGCTGAGCTTGTACTGGAGGTGATTATGATTGGCACTTGAACCGCATTCGCAATCGCATAGTCAACGCTCAGCGAATCGCCAGTCTTCGCGGGCATGTTGGTAAGGCGAACAGAGTGTTGCCCGCCACCCAAGCCAGTGGCGTGATAGAGAAGTTGCTGAGCAAAGAAACTGGGAGCAACTGCACTATAATTGGCCGGAGCGTTGCCGTCAAGCTGCACGGAATATGGACCCTGCGTTGGACCGAGAGCACCGAAGATGGAGACCGCATCTCCAGTAAATGTGTACGTCACATACGCTGTTGAACTGACAGTTGTACTTGAAGAAGTTCATTTTTGAGTGCGAGTCTCCTAGACGTTGATGTATGTTTACTCACTGTCCAGTGCCTCCGTGATACTGGACCACATTCTCGGGCACGGTATTCCACGCTGTTGCAGCGGGCCCATATTCGAATCCAGAAGCATTATCATCGTCAGTCTGGTTATTCAACGTGTCATTTTGACCCCCCAGTTCTTCCTCCCATATAATCTGCCAGAATCGCGGGGTATTAGTACCCGGCCCTGCTTCTCGGCAGAATGGAGAACGAATACACTCACGAAATCCAAGTCGAGATTCGAATATGTACTCGAGTTCCGATTATTGGTGAGAGTAACGACATGAATCCCAGGGCTAAGGTTGGCCGCAGCAAAGAGCGGTTGCTGGTAAAGGCCATCTCCTGCGCCAAAGCCCTAAGTGGCCGTTAGCCCGATCGCCTTTGTGATACAAGTTTGAGAGAGAAAGTGAT